GAGCTTTAATGAAATAGGGTGTCTAGGTCCCATTCAGCCCCGTGATATCTCTGGACCAAACGTTCTGTAAACTGTATCTTCTGTAGCTATATTAGTCTTTAATGATGCCAGTTAAAACCTCAAAGCTGAGGTAGTCCAGTTTATTGACATCCTTAAGGATATAACTATTTTCTATAGAATTTTCTCTTTGGTTCTGCAATGAATTGACATGTAAAGCCATGTGGCAGTCTGTCTTAGCGAAATATTTTCATCAAGTCTCAGTTGCATCTAGCCAGCGAATCTGCTTTCAGTGAACAATCTGAAGGTTTCAGAGGATTTACAGTAGTGATTTGGTTCATTTGAAAAGTGCAGGTCAAATTGTCAGAAGGTACATAAGTTGCATGTCAATTTATGCAGTTACTTTTTGGTGGTTCCACATGTATTATGTGTGTGCTTTGTATGTAGGACTCAAAAAACGTTCAAATGTTTTCAGCAAATAACTATTAGTTAAATGCAAGGTGTTTTAACAAAATTATTAGAATAATACATAAACATATCCTTGTCAGCACAGCTTCTTCCCTTTTGCTTTTATGTTATAGTACACGATAACACAAAATAGACCTGCAAGTTTGCAAAGACTAACTAATAGGAGGTATGTGAGGATATACATGAATGTCCTATTCTACTCTCAGATTAACTGAACGTTGTGGAGTTTTGTAATAATGTTTATTGGAAAAACAATGAAGGACTTTCTTCAATTATAGTTTATCTGCTGTTATAATAAAATATCTCAAGAACGTGTTAAGATCAATTTACATATTGTGTTTACGGAAGTGTGTCTTCAAAGCTTTCTCTTTTTATGTTCTAATGGGAATCAAGAGATGTATTTAGTGTTTCCATGAGCCGTCTATAGCCAGATATGTTGGGGAAAATGATCTTTAAGGTTTTTCCATCAGTGGTTTAATTAACATACAGTAGACAGAAAGCAAACAATCTGTTCATCCAGACTATTCAGAGATCCCTCCTGTTGTTTTTGTTTTCACTACAGCTGGAAAGGGAAAAATTGTGTAACATATATTCCTTCGTCTTGCCTCTGAATAATTTGTTTTGGTGCTGATTTAAAGAGTAATTTAAAATATTTGTATGAGTTTGAAAGTCTGTGAAATGCACACGAGTGATCTAGATAATATAGTAATATAGTAATATAGATAATATAGATAGTAATATAGATAATATAGATAATATAGTAATATAGATAATATAATAATATAGTAATATATAGTAATATATATAGTAATATATATAGTAGTATAGTAATATATATAGTAATACATATATAGTATATAGTATATATAGTATATAGTATATAGTATAGTATATTATATAGTATATATAGTATGTATAGTATATATATATAGTATATATATACAGTATATATGTATATATATAGAGTATATATATATAGTATATAGTATAGTATGTAGTATAGTATAGTATATAGTACATAGTATATATAGTATATACTATATAGTGTATATATAGTAATATATAGTAATATAGTAATATAGATAATATAGAGTAATATAGATAATATAGTAATATAGATAATAAAGCTGTGATTTTTTTCTTATTATCCTGTGTTTAGTCTGTAAAACATCTATTTTGACTTGTTTTGTCTTCTCTAAAAATCATTTAGAAGTAGAATCAAAATCTAAGTCAGTTTCATACTTTTCAGTCTTGATGAGCCATGTATTACCAAATTATAAACATATAATAGGATTTCCTCTCTGCACGACTGGATAGCTTGTTTATTCATGACGTAACCAGAGAGAAAGAATTAGGTTTAAAATGCCAACCCAAAGGATATTCATGGATGCAAGGCCCTAAAGCTCACAAATATTCTCACTAGAAAACCCCTCAGGTTTTTCCTGAGATCCTGTTTACTCTTTGCAAACACAGTTAGAGCAAGCAAGTGATCTGTGTTCCAAGTTTGAGGTAACAAATTCTAGTAGGCACAGGGATGGAGGTTTGTCAACATTTGACTGTAATAGCTATCAATGGTGACAGCAGGCGAGAGGTACAAAAATCGTGAAATGCTGGTAAACAACAGGGAAAAAAAGATCAGACCTCAGCTGTCTAGAGACCAAACCTTGAAAGTGCTGGAGTAAGGATATACACTTGTCTCATACAGATGCTTACCAGTCTGCCAAATTCATTCTTCCCTGATAATCCTGCTAAAGCATGAGTTGGAATGCTCAGTACAGAAACAAGAGTTTGACACATTCATCAGACTTCTCAAATTTCAACTTAAATGAGAAATAGAGACTTTATCGTTTCGAGGTTTTGGAGCTCATTTGTATATGCTCTCTAGAGAAAAAAGGCAGGAAGAAAACTAGGAAAGAGAATTTGAGGAAGTTGAGAAGTAGAATCCCATGCAGAAGGCTCCTCCAGGGTTAGACATTCCATTTACTGTCTGTTCTGTGCCAGGATCCCAGAAGCTAATTTAAAAGGGCAAGGAAGGTGCTAATGGGTATTCTAGAAAGTTCCATTTTGTTTTATGTTATAAATATCTAAAAAATGGTAAAAATTGATATCAAGGAGGGAAAAAGTAACACTTATTTAAAAGAAACAAAGAGCTGCTTTGAAATTGTTTTGAAGATTTTAATGAAGACAAATCCTTTGAAGTTGTAGGGGTGTGTGTGTGTGTGTGTGTGTGTGTGTGTGTGTGTGTTTTCTGATTTATATGTTGGAAGACTGACATACCTCTGGTTGACATCATTCCCTTAGTGCATATGTTTTTTTAATACCATTTTTTCCCCAGTCTAGAATCATTTAATCTATTCTCTCCGTTAGGTTTGCTACTATTTCTTATCTAGGCTGACATTCTAACAAGGATTTTGCATGGGTTTCAGTGATTCCTACATGACTCTTTGTGTTTGCATAGCTATGTCAGGGGTGTACCTTGCTAAAAGCTACTACAGCAAGTGTAAGGAACATGCAGGTATCTGACATTGACCTAGACGTTGTGGTAGGAGGTCTTATCTGGTTGTCATCAAGTTTTATTGCTTACCTGGGTTATAAGCTGCCTCCTATATTTTTGGTAATGAAGCAGGATATATAAATAAAGCAAGTAAAATTGCTTTATATCGCTTTCCCTAAAACCAAAGATCTTAGAGCCTGACACAGTCCCAGGAAAAGCTGGCCGCTTTTGAAGGCAGGATGCTTTTATTCCCATTTAAAATACAGGATAACGAAAGCACAGAGACTTTTTAAAATTATGCCGGATCATACAACCAACAAACCTACTGGAAAGAATTCCAGCTAGAATCTCCTGGGTTCTTCTTGCACGTTAGTTTTTTCATTACTTAATTTTGCCTGGTCCGATAATGCTTGCTCCAAATAGACTGTCAAAAATTCATTCCTCCACTCATTCAGTCAGTCAATAAACATATTTTGAGTACTGCTCGATACAGAAAGAGATATATTCTACAGTGATGATGACAATATTGCTTAGATATGCTTGTTAAACACCTACTGTGTGGAGGCCGGGAGGGTATTCACACTCAGCCCTTTATGTACATGAGGTTTTTTTTTTTTTTTTTTTCCTATAGCAATTCAATAAAATGAACAAAATGGTACATTTCTCTTGCTCTCGGGTTTATCCCTGTGAAGTTTTGGCTACTTTGGTCTCCGTGGTCCTTTTGAGCTCTAACATTCTGTGAGCTCAAGGAAAGGTCTGGATGGCAGACATTATGGTAGTGTTTCCCTCTGGGTCCTGTGCACCAAAATATCAGATAATTAGAGATCTTTTAAGTTTACTGTGAAACCAAATAATATCCTCTCTGTCTAGAAGAATTACTAGCACTTTTCTGAGTTAAAAAGGAGGTAGTTTAGGTAATTATGCCTATGATCGGTAGTGGTAACTTTAAGTTAGTTATCAGGGTTCTAAGTACCTGATTCATTGTATTATAAGCTGCATTAAATATATTTTGGTTTCTTAGAATGGTCTTGTACCAAGGGAAACATAATGGCTATAATTAAATCACTGCTCTCTTCTCCCTTTTTGAACCCATATCTTGCCAGTTCTAAAACCTGTCCATTCATATCTTTTGGTAAAGTTGGCTGCAAGAAGGCTGTTCTTGTTCAGAAACTGAATTTCCAATACTTGTGGCACACCTTCCGCTGCTGCCCTACCGAAATGAATGACGAGGAGTAAAGATTAAATCTCATTTTTTACTCCTGGAGTAGCAGGATGAGCTGGGTCAGCAAGGCCAGTCCCAGCCGATGGCTTTAAAATGCCTTTGTGATTTCATCTTCTTGCCTTCCCATCCATTTCTATAAGTGCCCATCACTGTCATCTTTTAGACCCTGACAAGATTTCAAGGTGAGAACAGTGCAAATGAACAAGAGTGCAGTGATGACTCCTGAGGGTCTTACTTATTAAATGGATCAGGCAGTGAACCAAGACTGGCTTGTAAGCTACCAGGTAGTTTCACCCATTTACACGAAGACAATTTCATGTATTATTTAACCCATTCAAATATACTGGTGTCCCCTTTCTGTCCAGCGCAACTCAAGTGAAATAAATATAAGCTTACAAGTAAATAAGGTCTGACTTTTATTTTCAAAATAATCGGACAATCACTCGATTTCATCCCTTTGTTTGGATTCTAGCTTGCTTTCTCAGAATAGCTAGAGAATGTTTATGAAATGTGCGTGCAGAAGGGGCAAGGGAAAGGAATAAAAATGCGTTGCTTCAGGGCCGCACATCTGTTTTTAAAAACTCTGCAAGATCTGCCCGCTAACCATTGTCACAACTCCTGGTGTTTCCTGCAATTGCATTCCAATCAGAGATGTTCGTACCAGCTCAAGATATTACAAGTAAACAGATTTCACTGTTATAAGTTAGCTTCCTATTCTCATGCCTAGCATAACTATTTTTCCTTCTCAAGCCAATAGCACATGCATGTATGTGGTACACATAATGAGCGATAACACATTTTCTTTCTTTTTTCAAACAGATTGGCAGTATGGAGTTGCTCAGGCCTTCCCTCAGACAGAGGAAGAGGTGGAAGTCAATTCACACACATACAGCCATGGGTGGAAAAGAAGCTTGGACTTTCTCAAAGCGGTGGACACGAACCGAGCGAGCGTCGGCCAAGACTCTCCTGAGCCCAGAAGCTTCACAGACCTGCTGTTAGACGATGGGCAGGACAATAACACCCAGATTGAGGTAGATACATAGTTAGGTGCCCAACTTTTATATGTACGTAAGTTGTCTCTTCATCTCAATCTAGCACTTTGGATTTCTTTTAAAGAGAAACTTAATTCATTAATAGATACAATAGCTAAGGCACTTTACCATCCATTAATTCATTTTCAGACAAACACTGGCTTGGTGTGGCGAGAACAGTGAGGCCACAATACTGCATCTGCTCTCAAGGAATTCATTGTGTAAGAGCATCTATTTTTTTTTTTTTTCTTTTTGAGACAGAGTCTCACTCTGTTACCCAGGCTGGAGTGTAGTGGCAGGATCTCAGCTCACTGCACCTCCGCCTCCCTGGTTCAAGCAATTCTCCTGCCTCAGCCTCCTTAATAGCTGGGACTACAGCACATGCCACCACACCTGGCTATTTTTTGTATTTTTAGTAGAGATGGCGTTTCACCATGTTGGCCAGCCTGGTCCAGAATGCCTGACCCCAGGTGATCCACCCACCTGAGCCTCCCAAAGTGCTGAGATTACAGACATGAGTCACCTTGCCTGGCCCTGTGTAACAGCATCTAAGTGCCATAAGCAAATCATCCCAGTACCATGTGATATGTACAGAAAAATATACAGGCTGTAGTGTGGCATGAAGGAGGGTGTGATGAATCTGCTTGGGATTGAGAGCTGGGGTGTTGTCAAAGAGGCTTAGCCTAGAATTGAGGATTTAGATGGGGGCTTGACAGATTGAGAGGAGTTAGCCTAATTGATGACCTGTTGATGGGAAGAGGGAGGGGCATGCTAGTCAGAGTAAATGCCTCTGCATTGGCTGAGGTATAGAATGGCATATCCAGGACTGTCTCATAGGGTGACCACTGGTCCCAACTTGCTCAGGGCCAGGGGATTTTCTGGGACGTAGGATGGCTTCCAGTGTTAAATATGGGACAGTTCTGGACAAACTGGGGTGATTGGTCTCTCTGTCTATGAGTTATTATTTATTATGGTTGGAGCTATGAAGAGGAAGGAGGAGAATGACCAGAGAAGAGTTTGCTGAGTACAGACATTTGCACAGAATGCATTTTAGGCAGATTTTAGGGTTGCTCAAAGGCCTCAAAGGCAGTGTTACATTTCTTAAGTTTCTGTAGTCCTTAGTGCTGCAAATCACAAAATAAGATCTTGTTTGTAAACTAGATCCAACAGAACCCAGCAACTAAACTTGGGTTAAAAAGTGAAGACCACCCAAAAGAGAACAAACAGAGGTGATTTATCCAGTTTGCTGGGCCAGGCTTCAGCTGCCATCACTTGTTTTCAGCAGAGATTTTAAGACAGGTCAGGGAGTGGACAGGTTTTTATTGAAAAATAGAAGGTTCAGATGCACTCTGATTGGAAGTTGTTGCCATGGGGAATCTGGATGTGGGCTAATTAGAAACAGCATGTTTTTTTTCTTTTTCTTTCTCTTTTCTTTTCTTTTCTTTCATACTGTGTTTTACTCTGTCAGCCAGGCTGGAGTGCAGTGACACCATCTCGGCTCACTGCAACCTCCACCTCCTGGATTCAAGCTGTTCTCCTGCCTCAGCCTCCTGAGTAGCTGGGATTACAGGTGTGCACCACCACATCTGGCTAACTTTTGCATTTTTAGTATAGACAGAGTTACACCATGTTGGCTAGGCTGGTCTTGAACTCCTGATCTCAAGTGATCCACCCACCTCGGCCACCCAAAGTGCTCAGATTAAACGCGTGAACCACCATGCCCGGCCAGAAACAGCACCTTTTGTGATTTGTTTGAGGAACATCTTTGACTTTCAGTGGTTGGTGCTGAGTGTGATGAGAAAACAAAGAAATAGAGAAGCTCTCAGTTACTAAGAAGTCCTGACCTTACTGGGCTGACTCCTGCTAAGGCTGTGGTTTGGCTTCTTGAACTTGTTGCAGCAGAGTTCTGTTGTCATGTATGCTCCGCTCATTGTCTGCTGGTACGTTCTCTCTACCCCTGAAGTTTCGGTTCCTACTTTTTCTGAGGTGACAGGCTTATGATTTCTGAGAACCAGGCAACATTCTTTTTACTGCACCAGGATCCCTGAAATACTCATTATTTAAGAAAAAGAACTCAGTTTCCTGAAGCAGATACTACCTAGTCCTGCAAATAGTATCAAGGCATCATTTTGTTCCCTCGTAGTGAGAGAAATCCTCAGAAGGTCTGAAGCACAGCCTGTGAGAATTTGGTATATTAAAAAAAAAATACAGCAATTTCTCAAACCCCACTTCATGGCCTTAGCTGTTATGTAGCCATGGGGTTCCCAGGCTGCCCCAGCCAGGTCACTTACCAGACAATGGTTGATGTGTTAGGAGGAGAAGTCTTATGATCTATATAAGAGGATATTCTGGCTCCTGAAGTGTGACCTGCTATTTTGGCAACGACGAAGTTACAGCAACTTGGAGCAGGCAATAGAATTCTTCCTCAGGTCACTCTTTAGCTGTGGTACAGTGTAAAGAAAGAACTGAATAGAAACAGAGGCGCTGGCTGGGCGCTGTGGCTCACGCCTGTAATCCCAGCACTTTGGGAGGCCAAGGCGGGTGGATCATGAGGTCAAGAGATCGAGACCATCCTGATCAACATGATGAAACCCCGTCTCTACTAAAAATATGGAAATTAGCTGGGCATGGTGGCACGTGTCTGTAATCCCAGCTACTCGGGAGGCTGAGGCAGGAGAATTGCTTGAACCCAGGAGGCGTAGGTTGCGGTGAGCTGAGATCGTGCCATTGCACTCCAGTCTGGATAACAAGAGCGAAACTCTGTCTCAAAAAAAAGAAAAAAGAAAAGAAAAGAAAGAGAAAGAAACAGAAGCGTTTACTCTCTGCCCAGAAGTAGGACTCAATGGAAATTGAAAGGGAAGAACACATCACTATTTGGGTGATGCGTACACTAAAAGCCCAGACCTTACCACGACGAAATGTACAAAATCTGTACTTGTACCCACTAAGTGTATAAAGGTTTAAAAAAAATTTTAAAAGAAAGAGGAGAACACATATTCCGAGAACTCTGTGCTCTCTCCTGTGGGGTACTGAATTTTCTTAAACACAGATTCTGAGAACTCCGTGATCTCTCTCATGGAGTGCTGTTTTCTTAATCATTTATAAAATAAGAAATCTCTTTGCTTGGGGGTAAATTAACACTCCTGAAAATACAATCCCAGTGGTTACTGTAGCTGTAATTTTGTTATTCAGCCAATTTTTCTACTTTCTGCTTTAACAGAGGGAGACTGCAAAGTATTAGTAGTTTTGAATTAGTAAAACGAGGGTGGAAGGCACCAGGCACAGTGGCTCACACCTGTAATCCCAGCACTTTAGGGGGCCAAGGGGTGGGCAGACCACTTGAGGTCAGGAGTTCGAGACCAACATGGAGAAAACCCGTCTCTACTAATAATACAAAAATTAGCCAGGTGTGGTGGCACATGCCTGCAATCCCAGCTACTTGAGAGGCTGAGGCATGAGAATTGGCTTGAACCTGCGAGGTGGAAGTTGCAGTGAGCCAAGTTTGTGCCATTGCACTCCAGCCTGAGCAACAAGAATGAAACTCCATCTCAAAAAAAAAAAAAAGAAAGAAAAGAAAGAGAGCAGAAAGATGGCCCACAGGACTGTTTGGTGGGTACTCACTCAAGGCCAGGATCTGCCAGATACTATGTGGGTGCTGTGCGGTTTGGTCCTCACAGCGACCTTGGGAGATTTGTGTCCTTATGAAAAGTGTTTATGAAAAGGACTGTACTGTGTGATGTTTCCCTTGATTCAAAAGCCACTGGATGACTGAAGAAGGGAGGTTTTAAAAATAGGGATTATGGATCATGTTAGTGTAGTTTCATGATCAAAAGTGACTCAGAGATTGGGAACTAGGCCAATGTCTCTGAAACTTTAACAAGATTACAAGTTACCTGGGAATCTGGTTAAAATGCACATTCTGATTTCTTAGTTCTAGGCTGGAGCTGGTCTGATACTCTGTTTCTAATAAGTTCTCAAGTGATACAGGCCACAGGCCACACTTTGGGTTACAAGGATTTAGCTATTAGTTTTGAGAGCAGAAATCTTAGATTAAATTTAGTTGCCTACCAAGAGTATGTCTCATGGAGTTCTCATTCTGGTACCTAATTAGAAATTTCAGTTGTATCCAGCAACTGTTACATTATTCATGTGCATTAAAGTTCATATCTGAGGAAAGTACAGTCAAGAATGATCAACAAATATGTGTGATAGATTTAGCTAAAAGTAGAGATAAACAGTTTTTCTCTTAAATGCATATATAAAAATTCTCTTTGATCTCCAGCTATCACACGTACACTGTCAGTTGTGTTGGCATCTTTTTATAAATTGTGCAGTATGTTTCTTTAAAAATTTTACCAGTTGCTAATTGCTGTACACAAGCTTATTGTGCGGGCTTTAAGAGTTCACTGCAGCCTTTAATTAGAAAATCTATTTGAGAGGAAAGAAGTCCCCAGCAAATACTTAATCTAAAAAAAGAATGTAGGCCAGACATAATGGTTCGTGCCTGTAATCCACCACTTTGGGAGGCTGAGGCGTGTAGATCACTTCAGGTCAGGAGTTCAAGACAGGCCTGGCCAACATGGTGAAACCCTATCTCTACTGAAAATACAGAATTCACTAGGCATGGTGATGCATGACTGTAGTCTCAGATGCTCGGAAGGCTGGGGCACTAGAATCGCTTGAACCTAGGAGGCAGAGGTTGCAGTGAGCAGAGATTGCACTCCAGCCTAGGCAACGAGAGAGAAACTCCATCTCAAAAAAAAAAAAAAAAAAAAGTGATTGTGTTGATGATTATTTTATGAAGAAAAAGCAAATTTTGTAATGTTGATGTGGACCGAATCTCCATGGTATGTTTGCAGTACAGAAATGATATGGTTTGACTGTGTTCCCACCCAAATCTCTTCTTGAATTGTATCTCCCATAATTCCATGTGTTGTGGGAGGGAGAGATCCAGTGGGAAATAACTGAATCATAGGGACAGGATTTTCCCATGCTGTTCT